TCTGATCCTGCCTTGCCATGAGTTTGGGCTGGGAGTTCTTTTATTTGCGTGGATCAATGCCAATGGCTTGAATATCCACCAAATGTTGGTTTCACATGTTTGCACCCAATGATTGCCATTACCATTGATACCCCAAAATGGCCAGGTCCTGAATTTGAGAGTAGGTCCTGAAAAGTTTTCTGGGTACTGAAAAAACAGGACTTTGGCACAGGGTCTGAAAAAAGACGTAGGTGGAAGATTCAGGTATGCTGTTGGGTTGCAAAGCTGGGTTAATCATCATCATACATACGTTGTATTGACTCGAACATCTTTATGCATAAATGGGTTTCCGTTTGTTTTGTTTTTTGTTTTTTAAAATGCGTTTCTTTTGCTTATAACACTTGGCGAGAGACGATTACTGCATTGGGGGGTTTTCGTTTGCTGGACTAAATAGATTTTGCAACCCTACAACAACCCTGCTCATCATAATCGCCATCCTCATTTCCATCTTCATTCTCATCCTCAACATCCTCATCATCCTCATCATCCCCATCATCCTCATCATCGTCTTCATCCTCTTCGTCCTCATCATCGTCGTCATCAACTCATTCCTGTTACCATGACTTTCGTCATCATCAGTTTCCTTCATCGTTCTGGTCAGCAACCTCATCAACATCAAAAAATTGGCACTGTTTGTGACTTGCAGCAACTCCAAAAAACCACGTGAGACCGTTGCCGCATTCCGACTTCACCTTGCTAATCCCCCTTTACGACTACCACCCCGCCCCAGCCCTGCTAGCTTTCGCACCTCCCCCCTGGCCTCAAGTCGTATATGCCATCCCCAAATCGGTAAGTCATTACCATATGATTGGGGTAGATTATTATCCATGATATCCCAATAATCCCGCCATGATAGCACCATTCTCAGGCGCGGCTACGAGCGCTGCGTGGGGGTTCCAGCGGGGAAGCCAATTGGTTGGCTGATTGAGTTCCCCAGATGCTGCTGCCATAGCCGAAAATAACATTTGAAGAAACTCACCAAGATATTGCATTTCTATATCATTGTTGATCTTGTTGATGTTGTTGTTTCACACATGAAGATGGGTATACAGTACATGTTCATGTACACGCGTTTCTGCACCATGCCAAAACTTAGTGACGACTCAGGATTATGCAAGTGTGAAGCAGCGCCGGGTGTGCTGCTTTGGCGGCTCAGCGTGCTGCGAGTTTTTTTTTTTCAGCTGAAGGAGGTTGGCTGCGTCTTGGAAACCAAGTTTGATTCAGAGAGATTTACTTGGAGAAGACATGGAAAATGGGACTGTTCTGGCCATTGGCTTGTGATATCTTTACCCTTGCTGAATATCATTGGATTCCTGGAAGATAGTGTGGGATCAGCTCAGTCAATGGCTGATATCTCAGCTTTCTGGTGGGACCCAAACCTCCAGGCTAGACCTGTCCATGACAGTAGGCAGCATAGGCTGGATTTCGTGGATGCGTAAACATTTCAACAGAATGGTAAGGTGGCAGGGTATGCAGGGTTAGTTTTAGATGGTTTTAGATAGTTTGAGTACCTGGGATTCGAACTCACAAAGTAACCAGTGGACACAGAAGTCTTTCATACCAGATGCTTTTCTGGTATCGTGCCAATTCCATGTGCAATGCTGTGCAGAGATTTATGATACTCATGCTAGTCTCTGTCAAATTGTAGCCAACCTTGAGCATAGCAGTTTCGGGACCGAGCACTTGCAGAACAACGCAGCACAGTGCTTGGGTCCATTGGTTGGGCACCGCAGTGAAAACATGATGGACAGCTGCATAGAAACCGCAGCCAGCGACAGTCATGGCCACGAAGGCATGGCGGAATGCGCGGCGCGCCGTGAATGCTTAGGTTTCTACAAAAGGTTGGCAAATCCGGGGCGGGGCTGTGGGACTCCAATTTTGTCATTCTGATTTATTACTGACGACTCAAGCATTCTCTACCAGGATAGGGGTACTTCACATCACGTTTAAGGCTGTAAAAAGGATCCAGTCCTCACTCCCGGGCCCCCCAATGGGACACGCATTGAATTTTGAAGTTTATTGCAGCGTGTGTAAAAACGAGATCTTCAAATATTTTGGATTATCGGGTTGGTAGGTCATTTACCACCGGAATCAATGGATTGTCCTCATTAGACCATTCCGCTATGGGGGCAGCTGTTGGTGGTGTTCCCAACATCTGGCTTTTTTGGCGCTTCAGCTATAGTGCTTGGAGTTGATGGCAGATAACACTGCAAGCCCAAAACCAATCTACATCGATGTGATATCAGATCATAGTAATCCTCATTTAACATCATTCAACATCATTTTTTTCACAACTTCTTAGTTTGATCAATTTCTTACCAAATTTATCCATAGTTCACAGGTGTTCACGGTGGCTCTCATTGGATGATCAGATGGCCATGGCGCGGTTGGCCGCCCGGGCCCGGCTCCCACTGCTGGCGCGAGGTGGGCACAGATTTTCGGATCCTTGGGTGATATTTGGGTGCAACTTGCAAGTTGTCATTGCCACATACAGTAACATACAGCAGCATACAGCCAGGACGCATCGGCATTACCTGCCGCCGCACCTTGCATGGTGTCTCAGGGGGTGAACGAATATCGGTCAACCAGAAGTGATTGGTGGTCGATGATGTGGGGCTTTCAGCACCAAACTGCAGGGATCTCTTGCTATATCTGACCCTGTCTCACTAAGCATGAGGATAGTAGCGCGGAGATTTTGGCCTGGGTTGGCAAATATCTCCTAAGTAGAATGATTCACCCTGATCGACTTATGTTTTTCAGGTTGAATTTCCCAGACAACAAATTATCGTGGCCATTTCAGACTCCACACTGAGTTCCGATCTGATGATTCTGATGTGGCGATGAGTGAGTTTTTTACACTCCACGCCTCAAAATGCCCCAGTTAATAATCAGTTCTCCCTATCAAACTTGATAAAAATTGCCATGGGGCATATTCCATTTTCAAAGAGCTACCACTGCCACTAGGCCTGCACTCGCATCTCGCAGTGCTTGGCATGGCCGTGTGATGTCGGCGACTTAGCCAGGCTTCAAGGAATGGGGGTTGGGGTTCCAAGGGGGAATACCCCACAAATGCTTGAAGGGAAAATTATTATAAGATAAAGATATTATAAGTCACCAGATTTTGGGATATTATCTTATTGTATAGTCACCATATTTATAGGGATATTTAATAGCCTATTTCCAGACATTTCTATAACCCATCAGAACCCCCCAAATCGCTGACATTGACCAAGATTGCGCGCCAATGCCTCGGAGTCCAATCCCAGGCCCGGCAATGATTTTGCTGGTTGGGGGTCGACCACAGTTGTGCCTTATGGATCGTTATGATTGAAAAAAACGTGAAAATCCAGTATCTCTGAATAGGAATGACTGGAAAGTCGGTGTGTCTGGCAAGGTTCTCAACATGTTTGTACAGTCACCTCTGCTGCAAACGACAACTCTTGCTGCGTAGATGGGACGCAGATGTGCGAGCTTGCTTACTGAACGAGGAAACCAAAAGTGTATCTGGCGCTGTCAAAGACTTTCCGCCTGACATAGATAGGTGTGTCCAAATTGGGAGGACGCTCTATTTATGGCAATGTTAATAGGTTTTAATGATCATAATCTATCCGAATTGGGGGTATCCTGGCCGTACTATTTTCAGACTACCATACCATCATATAAGTTGGTTTGTAAACCCCATTAACTAGATATAGAATGAGAGAGAGATATATATAATATAGATATCTAAGATATCTACCATAAACCCTTTGAAATAGCATGTTTGCAACCCTTTGAAATATCCCAATGGTATCAATGAATTTTCTAGCTTTCGGACAGCGAGGCCGGAGGACA